CAGGCCAGGTGTAGTGGCCCATGCCTGTAATCCCAGCACTTTGGGAGGCTGAAATGGGAGGATCGCTTGAGGCCAGGAGTTGGAGACCAGCTTGGGCCACAGTGGGATCCACATCTCTACAAAAATAAAAAATAAAAAAAGTAGCGATGTGTGGTGGGTGTGCCTGTAGTCCCAACTACTTGGGAGGCTGAGGCGAGAGGATGGCTTGGGCCCAGAAGTTTGAAGTTACAGTGAGCTATGATCAGCAGCCTGAGTTGACAGGGAGGACCTTGTCTCAAAAGAAAAAATAAGACAAAACAGCTAAGCCCAGGCTTTATGTGTTGCTAGGGAAGCTAGTGAACAATATGAATGAATGTTCATTGCTTGTGCCCAGGCACAGACAAATAGATTGGTCATAGAAAAGACTGAGGTGATGTTAGTGCAGGAATCTTTATCCCTTGAGATTGTTTGCCTATATGTACCTGTGTGCATTTTCTGGGAGAAGAAAGCTCTTTCTTGTCCAGTTTTCAAAGAGGTGTGACACATCCCCCTGACCTTCCAAAGATAGTAAACTTTTGATTTTAATTAGAAAGTTCACATATATGCCATATATTTGACTCCAGAAAGAAGAATCCGGAGGAAAGAGGACAGAATCAGAGCTTGGGGGAGGAGATGAGCGTGGAGAGAACTGGGAATAGGAGATCCAAGGAACAGGGCAGGTGGATCAGGGCTCAAAGTTGAGAAGGTACAGTAGGCTGAGCTGGAGGTGGAAAGGAAAAGAAATGGTCTTCAGGGGGCTCATTCGTAATAACTCACCTGGTTAATCGGAGTCTCTCTATTGACTTAAGGATTGTGGGATGAGGGGAATGCTATATTTGGCTTCATATAGTCTCCAGGGCTGGGTTCAGTATGGGTGGTCTGAGCCTGTGGAGTGGGGCTGACCCTGGCTAGGTTCATCTTGTGTCTCCATCCCGAGGTCTTCAAGCCATACCAGGCCTCCCAGCATGACATGTGCCGCTTCCACTCCGAGGACTACATTGACTTCCTGCAGAGAGTCAGCCCCACCAATATGCAAGGCTTCACCAAGAGTCTTAATGCCTTCAACGTAGGCGATGACTGGTGAGGGAGGACTGGGACTTTTGATGTCTAATAGTTTAATGCCAAGCCCTTCAGTGAGGTCTTTTGGCAGCAGTGGGAAGATCTCAAGGGGGGCCTACTTGTCAATGAATCATAATTCACTTGCTTGTTTATTCAATAAATATTTACTGGTCACTTGTTCTAGGCCGGGCCCTGTGCTAAGTGCTGGGAATGCAGTGATGAACAAAACTGAAACTTTAATACTGTATTTTTGCTAAGTCTTATGAAGAGGAGGTATGACAGATTATGAGAGTATATATGTGGAGAATTGTTTAGCTTGGTGTAGTGACTGGTCGGTGGGGCCTTCCTAGAGGAAGTAAAGATTGAGCTGAGATCTGAAAAAAGAGTAGAAGTAATGAGATGAAAAGTGGTTGAAGGGTGAGGGGAGGAGTGTAGCAGGCAGTAGGGACAAGTGCTAAGGGTCCGTGGTAGGATTGAGTATGACTCATTTAAGGAACAGAAAAAAGGCCAAGTGCAGAATATGAAGAGGAGGTGAACTGAATTGAGGCTAAAGAAATAGGGCCTTTTTAAAGTAAACAGCTCTATTATGAATTAGGGTTTTTACCCCTAGAGTAGAGGGAAGCTATCAAAGTTTTTTAAGAAGTCCTGATCTTAAGAGGGCTATGGGCAGTTAAGAAAACAAAAAAACAACAAAGGAGTGGTTTGATATCGTTAGGTTTACATTGAGCTGGTATCATCCATAGAAGAGTCAGGATTAGACCCTGTGGGGAAGGGAGTGGACAACAAAGATAAGCCATGATCTTTGCTTACACTCTCCTCTACATCCATGAAAAAATAGTAAGCATCACAGCTACCAGTTCCTCAATTCTACTTATTTTTGTTTTTAAGCTTTCTATTAGGGAAAATTTCAAAAATTTCAGAAAGTGAAGTAGTGCAGTGACTTCCCATCCATCACCTAGCTTCAACACTTATGAGCAAATGGCCACT